ATGACAAAAATAAAAATGGAGGAACAAATGATGATGAGAACAAAGTGAACAAGCTGACTGACTGAGGCCGGCAACTGTTAGTAATAGTTTATACTTGGAAAACAATTATACTAAACCCAAAATATACAGTTACATGGATGGCACCAGCATATCCAAAACTGACAAGTTTACTACTTTGCTGGCTGACACTCGTATCTGAAGTATGTGGAACACTGATGTGAAGAGTAAATAAGGTCGGTGTATACTGTGATTGTGCAGACCATGACTTCACAAACAAATCCTCCCTACTGGAAATGAGGAATTTATACTTCAGTTCTGGGTAATAAAGAAAAACCTAATTTCAGATGGGTGTCATTGCATTTCTTTTACCTGGCTGAATGCACACAAGACGTTCAGCAGCGTTCAGTCTAGCTGCATTTACACAGAAAAGAAATATGTGCGTCCAGGGATGGTGTACCCAGTTTTCTGCAGTTAAACAAATGTAAACGCAAGTACATCTAGAGGCAGGTGAAATGGATCTGATAAGTAGAGGTTTGTCTATACTTCTCAGATTAAGTTCTTATGTGTAAAAAGCAGGCCCGTGCACACGAATCCTAAAACATAAACCAGACATTCACTCATAAAAATATTTTTTTCTCTACTGCTTCCTCCCCTTTCCCTCTCACATAACTGAGGTGAAAAAATGAAACCACCAAACATACAGCAATTGTTTTTTTGCTTTGATTTCATGACCACTTCCAGAATCCTCACCCAAGCCAGCCCATACATAAATGCTTTTAATTTTGGTTTTAGATTCAATGCATGTTTTAAAAGGAACCCATCAGGATAGAAACACAGGTGCTGACACAGCTGCCTTGTTTTTAAAAGTCCAATCCTTGGAGCTGTCATCCTTATCCTTGATTCACTACTTTGTGAGTCCCCACTGAGCACACAGGAAGTCACAGACGCCTCCACACTGGAGACACAGCAATAATGAGAATTGGTCTAACGCTTGACTACTAATTTTAAAATCTTTTGGATAGAGTTCCACATTTTTAGTTCCCCATAATTACAAGATCTAACAAGGCTTCATGCTTGCTCCATACAATCATGTAGGCTTGTACACTAAGAAGACAACGCTGGGGCCTAATCTCATGGGAACAGTATGGACAACACACCAAGCAGAAGTTAGTGCGTTTCGGGGCCAATCTACTATACCAGGGGCGCCCACAATTTTTTCGTCTGGAGATCTACTTTTCAAATGACGAGCTTGTGCATGCGTTCCGGTCCAGTGCGATCTGCAAAAATGCTGCAAGCACTATGTGCATGCGTTCCGGGTGCGGGCGATCGCACTGCAGGCGTGGCTGCAGTGCCATTGACTTCACTACAACCCCACACCTCCTTCTGCCCTGAACGCAGGGAGCTGGCAGGCTTGCGTTCCAGTGTGTTCTAGAGGCCGAACACTCTGGGGCGCATACTTTGAGGTGTGAACCGATTGCAATCTACCAGCGTTTGCTTCGCGATCGACTGGTAGATCGCAATCGACCTAATGGGCACCCCTGCACAATAGCAATGCTCTTCCGATGCACAGTACACCACATAGCACAGTAACACACTAAAAAATGGTGCATGTCTGTTTTATGTCCATTGTAGTGTGTTAAGAGCGCAATCAAATAAATGGGTGCCGCTAATACACCACAATGGACTGAATAGATGTGAATGGACGAGGGGTGGTGATGTCACTGGCCCTCATCCAATTAGAGAACACTTAGTATTCATTAATAAAAATAGGTGTTCTCTAAATAGTCAGTGTTAAGCAAGCCACCCCCTGTGTTTTTACAGAAGAGGGGAAGACACTCAGCACAGTGGCATTACAGGGCCCAGAAGATCACTGTAAAGCACTGTAGCAGTGCCGACAACTACAATGTTTTACAGGATCCCTCTGACTCTATCAGGTATAAAATATGTATCGGCCAAGCTGGACCAAGTTGTATACATAAATACTATACATGGAGTTCAGCTTTAAATGATTTACCAATATTGCAACATAAAGTCAACTGACTTCAGACTTCTAAGAAAAAAAAAAGGATTCAATTGCAACACCACAGAAGTCACATCCTGATCAGTATTTTCAGTTCCATCTCCATTCTCCTAGAGCAGCCAGTGTGACCATAACTATATCAGACCTTCAAAAAAAAAAAATCACCATGACCAGAATAAAATATAAAAGTATAAATCTCCCAGCGGATATAAAAGACACAACAGACACCCCCTGACAGCTATACAATAGCTGTCAGGGGGAGATTCCTCCATCCATGATCTTTGGTATGGATGGGAGAATCAAGTGATTTTTGTCACTCAGATTGTGGACAGCTTTATTCTGCATGCCCACCCTCCCCTGATCAAAGCTACCCAGCCTTCCGGAGCATCAGATTCATTCTCACCAGAAACCAACAGCCACGGCCTGCTGCAAAGTTTATGGACTGTGGCTGAAAAGTAAGTAGCCGCTGTCTGCACCTGGCCAGTGAATCCTCATAGATTACTATGGGCTGTCTCCCATTACAAGAGATGTTCCCCGATACCTACCTATACCCGGAGCAGTCCACTCTGGGTCCAATAGGTCTCACAATTCCCTGCTTAATGCCATAGTTATGGGAATAAGAGAAAGGATTGATTAGATGCCTCTAAGGCTTCTGTTTCTTTAATGCCTATCTCCGGGGGGAAAAAATCTGCAAGGGTTAAGTGCTAATTTAGGTCTAGGGTACCTGGGAAAAGCAGTTTTACTTACCTGATCCCCATTTCCCCCAGCAGTCGGCACTCTCCTCGTCCCCCCCTATGCTCCAGCTAGTGGACTGGTCTCTAGGTATCTTAAGTATGATGCAGGGTTATGGGCCCTGCATTGTACTTGGTGATGCCAGCAGGCTTCCGACCACTGGAGCGTAGGGGGAAAACTGAAGGTGCTGGTCCTGGAGACTGCGGGAGTGGGGATCAGGTAAGTAAAAGTCCCTTTCCCAGGCTCCCTGGACCTGACATGCTGATTTGGAGATTTGGAGGGGATGCGTTTACAGATCCCCTGCTGATCAGAATGGATGTCACTGTTAAAAAGGCAGAGCAAGGAGGCAGAGCTAGACTACAAAGACTAACAGAGGCAGAGCATGGCCACACATACACAAATTTAAATCTAATACCGCTTATTTCACATCAGTAACTATTTTAAACACCTGTCTATAAATTGGTGTATGCAACCTATAATATACAGGCTGAAAATGAATTACACAAGCCAGCCTGTGCCATCAGTTCTAAATGGGATTAATTAACTGAATGGGGGTGATTCTGTTTCCTAATAAGACACTGGAACCAAGTACATAAAGAACCATAACATGTGGCCTTGGAATGCAGCTGGATTGGATCTAGTGGGACCTGTGATACAGATCAGGGTAATGGGGCTGGCGATTTCTAGGTTAGGATGCAGGGGACACTGAGAGGCTTGTATAAAGTCTGAATGATGGAAAAGGTGAGCAATGACTGGAAAAGGAACCACTAGAAGCTGAATGAAAAATGTAGTCAGGGAGGTCACATGGTGAAAAAGAATCCCGACAGCTGAGAATGATGGATTGGATCACCGTTCAGGAATAAGTGAGTTAACATTATAGGTATTGGGGTCACCTGGTGAGGACAAGGAACCCTTACAGATGGCATTCAGATCTGGTTGATGGTGTAAGTCACCGCTCAGTAAAAAATGGATCCAGCAAGAAGCAATGAATTATAGGACAGCAAAGGAGGCACCCCGTGATGAAGATGGACCCCAACAGATGGCACTGAAATCTGAATGAAGGACTACGTCAACGCTCAGTAAAAAAAAGAAAAGAAAAAAAAGGATAACGTATGAAACATTGAGTGAGAGTATAGGGGTCAACCCAAGATGACAAGGGAGCCCGACTGAAGACATTGAGATCTGACTGATGGTATGTGTCACCACTCAATGAAAAGGTGTCCACCAGGATGAAAAATATGATAGGCATGGGGGTCACACCATGATGAGGAGGGGGTCCTGACAGATGACACCAAGATCTGGATAATGGTGTGCCTCACATCTCAGGAAAAAAATTAAATAAAAAAAGAGATCTAGCAGAAAGCAGTTAATAAGATAATATTTGTGGCAGGGTCATCCCATCAGAAGGAGGGGATAGACATGGGTTCGCACGAGGATGAAGAGGGGCCCTGAAGGATGACACTGAGATCTGGATGATGACATGGGTCACGAGGAAGCAATGAATGACATTATAGGCATGGGGTCACCCCATCATGAAGGAGAGGGGTCCTGACAGATGACACTGAGATCTGGATGATGCCATAGGGCTCCAGGAAGCACTGAATGGGATGACAGACATAGGGCTCCTGGAAGCACCAAATGGGATGATAGGCATAGGGCTCCTGGAAGCACTGAATGGGATGATAGGCATAAGATCATCACTTGATGAAGAGGGTCCATGACAGATGACACTGAGATCTGGATGATGGCATAGGACTCCAGGAAGCACTGAATGGTATGATAGGCATGGGGTCACCCCATAATGATGAAGAGGGGCCATGACCGATGACACCGAGATCTGGATTAAGGGCATGGGTCACCAAGCAATGAATGGGATGATAGGCAGGAGGTCACTCCATCACGAAGGAGAGGGGTCCTGACAGATGACACGGAGATCTGGGTGATGGCATAGGGCTCCAGGAAGCACTGAAAGGGATGATAGGTAGGAGGTCACTCCATGATGAAGAAGGGCCATGACAGATGACACTGAGATCTGGATTAAGGGCATGGGTCATCAGGAAGCAATAAATTAGATGACAGACATGGGGTGACCCCATCATGAGGAGAGGCCCTGACATAAGGCATGGAGCAAACTATATGCGATCTGGGTGGAGACGGATTCTGTTATATTATACAAATTACGGGGAAGGGTGGTTGTTTTAGGATGAAAGAGGATTATAGAAGATGTCCACACATCGATATCACTCACCCTCCAGGGTCTCGCACTGCACCAGGTTCAGGTAGTCCCCCTGAGTCAAGACGCCGGCCTTGAAGCCACGGACCAAACCTTCCAGGTAGCCGCTGTCTACGTTGAAGTAGAGCTCGGAGAAGGACAACATCTTGATGACGGAGGGCACGGGTCGGTGTCAGAGAGAAAGCAATAGAGGAACAGTGACGTCACTGCACCGGCTAGGGGAACCCGGAGAATCGGGAGGGGTCACGTGAACGCAGCACCACCTGTCACATGACAAAACTGCTGTCATGTAGGTGGGAGTTAGGGAGGAGAAAGAACCAATCAGTGGCGTTGATTCATGTTGACGTCATGAAAAAAAAACGAGGCTTGGACCGCAGGAAGGGCAATTACAATGATGGAGGTGGATTTCCGCCAGTAAGCTCAGAGTTCATAGCTGTCAGCAAAGGTGGAGCCGTGCAATGGCCGTACAATATATAAGTCTGAGCTAAAGCCTTCTTGTAATGGCAGCATTCAATGTTATAGTGAAATTTGCAAAGAAATTGTGCAATGCTCTGAGGGGAAGTAGGAGGCTGTCATTGCAGACCTTCAAACAATTCTTGTTTCTTGGCTATCTCAAGTCAGTTGTTATATGTGGGGCCTGTTCAAACCAGCTAAACACATACGTGCGTTATCGTGTGTTTTACTTGTGTTATTCAGCCTATTCATTGAAGGGCCTGCTCACATTTGTGTGTTGCGGTAGAGCAGACATATTTTACATGCATTAAGAAGCTCATTCATTTTGAATAGGCCACATTGCACCAAAGATGGTACATGCTGTAATCATGAACATCTGTGCATTATGGTGTGTCACAATGTACGTGCAGTACCTTGTGTTGGTGCATTATAATATATGCATTAGTGCAACTTACAGGTGTGTTCGGGCCAGGGCTCTAGCTACCATGGGGCGAGTGAGGCACTCGCCTCAGGCGCAGCTGAGAGGGGGTGCACCAAGGGCCAGCCTGGCTGTGCCCCCTCGCCCCTGTTGCCATGGCAAGCACAGGGCCCCATTGTCAACAGGCGGCCAATACAGTCGTGACTCGGCAGGGAGAAGAGGAGTGGCACAGGCTCCAGCTTCTCCTCAGATCCCTGCTGCTCTCCCTCACCAGTATGGGCAGAGGATTCTGTGTCCTCAATCTCTTTTTCTATTTCAAAAGGCAAATTTCAGGGGTCTGTTTAGACCCCTGATATTTTCCCGAAGCCCCCCTACAGTGAAAAAAAAAATTTTTAAATAAATTTAAAAAAAAACCCCCGCACATTACTAGACATGTGCAAAGACTAAACATTTGTTTGGGATGAAATGAACGGGAAATAAAAATGTTTACATTAGTTTTGTCAAACAAAACAAATTTTATGCTATTTGGATTTGGCTACCAGCGCATTGTGTGAGGCAGGGCGTATGACGTCACATACCGCACAGGTATTAATAGTCACTGGGAGAAGGACTCCCTTATATTAATGGTCAGTGGGAGAAGGAACCCCTTATATTAATGGTCAGTGGGAGGACTCCATTATATTAATGGTCAGTGGGAGAAGGACTCCCTTATATTAATAGTCACTGGGAGAAGGACTCCCTTATATTAATGGTCAGTGGTAGAAGGACTCCCTTATATTAATGGTCAGTGGGATAAGGACTCCATTATATTAATGGTCAGTGGGAGAAGGACTCCCTTATATTAATGGTCAGTGGGAGAAGGACTCCCTTATATTAGTGGTCAGTGGGAGAAGGACTCCCTTATATTAATGGTCAGTGGGAGAAGGACTCCCTTATATTAATGGTCAGTGGGAGAAGGACTCCCTTATATTAATAGTCACTGGGAGAAGGACTCCCTTATATTAATGGTCAGTGGGAGAAGGACTCCCTTATATTAATGGTCAGTGGGAGAAGGACTCCCTTATATTAATGGTCAGTGGGAGAAGGACTCCCTTATATTAATGGTCAGTGGGAGAAGGACTCCCTTATATTAATAGTCACTGGGAGAAGGACTCCCTTATATTAATAGTCACTGGGAGAAGGACTCCCTTATATTAATAGTCACTGGGAGAAGGAACACCTTATATTAGTGGTCAGTGGGAGAAGGACTCCCTTATATTAATGGTCAGTGGGAGAAGGACTCCCTTATATTAATGGTCAGTGGGAGAAGGACTCCCTTATATTAATGGTCAGTGGGAGAAGGACTCCCTTATATTAATGGTCAGTGGGAGAAGGACTCCCTTATATTAATGGTCAGTGGGAGAAGGACTCCCTTATATTAATGGTCAGTGGGAGAAGGACTCCCTTATATTAATGGTCAGTGGGAGAAGGACTCCCTTATATTAATGGTCAGTGGGAGAAGAAACCCCTTATATTAATAGTTACTGGGAGAAGGATTCCCTTATATTAATTAAAGGTTGCACAGATACCAAGTACAGATACTTTTGAGCTCCAGGACTAGACTAGAGAAAAATTCAAAAATTAGGAGGCAGCTGTCATGTGTAAGGCGCACACGGAGCTCCTGGAATTTGTACATCTCTGTTTTAATGTACACTTTTGATTTTATAAATATAAATAAAGGGATGCACAGATACCAGTTTTGCGAGTACGAGTACTTGTACTTGCCGAGTACTTACAAGTACGAGTACTGATACATTTTTGTTTATTGTCATGTGACAGTTTTTCTAAAACAATACAGACTAATGATTTCAGGACAGTGGTGGAGTGCCAGAGCCAGGTCCCAGCTGCAACCACTGCAACCTTGGTAGTTCTCATGAAAATGCCAAGTATCTGCACTGGTACTCGAAAAGTATCTGTGCATCCCTAATATTAATAGTCACTGGGAGAAGGACTCCCTTATATTAATGGTCAGTGGGAGAAGGACTCCCTTATATTAATGGTCAGTGGGAGAAGGACTCCCTTATATTAATGGTCAGTGGGAGAAGGACTCCCTTATATTAATAGGTCACTGGGAGAAGGACTCCCTTATATTAATCGTCAGTGGGAGAAGGACTCCCTTATATCAATGGTCAGTGGGAGAAGGACTCCCTTATATTAATAGGTCACTGGGAGAAGCACTCCCTTATATCAATGGTCAGTGGGAGAAGGACTCCCTTATAGTAATGGTCAGTGGGAGAAGGAACCCCTTATATTAATGGTCAGTGGGAGAAGGAACCCCTTATATTATTGGTCAGTGGGAGAAGGACTCCCTTATATTAATGGTCAATGGGAGAAGGACTCCCTTATATTAGTGGTCAGTGGGAGAAGGACTTCTTTATATTAGTGGTCAGTGGGAGAAGGACTCCCTTATATTAGTGGTTAGTGGGAGAAGGACTCCCTTATATTAGTAGTCAGTGGGAGAATGACCTCTATACATTGATGATCAGTGGTTAAGGCCTGGTTCACACCTAGGCATTTTTGAGCAGCTGGAACGGCGCTTTTAAACGCCCAACACTAGAAATCCAATGCTTTCCAATGGCCCCTATTCACACCTGAGCAGCAAAACGTCAAATGCCTGAAAAGGTACCTGAGTTTTTTTGAGCAGTTAACAGCACGTTTTTCCGCTTCATAACCTCAATGGAAAAACCTGAAAGCGCACGTCAGAAGCATGTTGCACATTTTTTGTACGCGCATTCGTCCATCGCCCACAATATCTTAAGTTGACCGGTCAAATTGCGCGTCTTTATGTATGCGCATGCAAACGTGTATCAAAATGTGCAACACGCACATAATCGTGCAAATAACCGCACGCTGAACACGCACATACAAGTGCGCAAAAACGATGCCGCCTAAGTGTAAACCCAGCCTGAAAGTTAGTGGATAAGTGTGCCAGAATTTCTTAGCTGCCCAGATGCAGGCATTTAGAAATACAAAGTAGCATTATTGTTACTTTGTATTAACTCGGTTCCATTCATCTGCATATGAAAGGTGTAAATTCAGTCAGTCAGTGTTTTGTTTCAGTGTTGTTTCTTTTTTGTCTGTGGATTGCTTATACACTGAGCCATTTGAAAGTGACAGTAGAGGGACAAATGAGGGACAGACTGAGCTTCCTCTCATTAAAATAAAAGGTTTAAAAGCCTTCAACCGTTAAACAGAGTCCCGGCGGCAAAAGTCGCCGGGAGTCTGTTTAAACAGCCTTGATGCTGGCGACGTACACTGTACGTCGTCAGTCACGAAGGGGTTAAACCTTTGTTAGGACAGACGGTGTTCAAACCTGGTATATAACAAATAAAGAAATTTGCCAGCACAGTGCAGACTGGGTCAATTAGAGTAAACATAACATAACTTTCCACAGCACCCTCCTTAACATTACATAGGTGGGAAGCTAAGTAGAGTTTTTAAAGGAAAACTATTGGGAGAGTAAAATATACTGTTCCCAAAAGTTTGAGCCAGTGTGTGGCACTGCAGCTGTCACATGCCGAATCTATAGCTCGAGAACTGAGCAATCACAAACCCCTGATCACTCAGCTCACAGATTCGCCGTGCATAGAGGGGTGACTCACAGTCACCGTTCCTCGCAGGATTCCCCCCTCCCCTCTCTCTGTTCCTCCAGCGCTCATTGCATGGACAGATGGGGGAGAGGGGAGGCACAGCTGGCTTTGGCTCTAGAGGGGCAGAGGCAGCTGGCAATCAGGCAGCCGGGTGGATCCCGATAATATTGTCAGGTTCTTTGCTGGCAGCAACAAGGCTTTCAGCATATAGCGAGCAGTAGCCTGCATAGTTCTCTTTTAAGCAAGTTTAAAACACAAAATGAAATCAGAAATGTCATGCAATGTGAATGGGAACATGTGGCAAACATAAAAATGGTGTTATCCCAATTTGGCTGTTAAAATGGCAATACCCTTTGAAGTAAACCGGTGCTTTACTGGCAAACAACCAAGTTTGTGTTAATGTCCTTTCCCCCGTGAGGCATTTTCTTACTTTTCTTACACTCTCTTGCCAGTCTATTCAGCAGCTGGAGTAGAAATGATACACCCTGTATTTCCAGGTATGGAAGAGCGTGTGAATTACTCTATGAGACGGCGCTGGGCCAGTCGATGTTATCACACGGGGGTCTATAGTCATGTGTAAGCGAGAACTACATCAGCTCATAGCTTACACGTGACATTCCTTCACTCCTGGCAGTTGACAAGAACAGCAGATGAGCAAAAGCAAGGTAAATATATATTGTTGGACTGCTGGGGATAGCACAGTGAAAGTGAATCTGTTGCTTCGCCTTTTGTGGACAAAACATAGGTTCATTTTAAGTTAAAAAATCAGCAAGTGCATATTACTTTTCGCCTTAGTCAA